GGATGCCGTCTGCGCATTGCCCTCTTGGTTCCGCATCTTCGATGGAGTCCAATCGTTCAGGCGCTTTTGGCACTCTTGCCAAAATTGTCCCGGTTTGCCGCAATAGTGGGACTTGCTCGCACCGTTCGATGCATTTCCCTTCCGCGCTCGCTTCCACCGGACGATTTCTTTGTCGCACCTTTGCTCCACGTAGACTTTTTTCCAGAACTCTCTCCAGAGAACATGGCGGTCCCCACGCTCTCTTTAGAGCATTGTGGGCGACACGATTCCTCATGGAGAAGCCGACCGACCACCGTTTCCTTCGTCGAAGTATCTTGCACGCTATTGAGTGTCGTAATCAACGTCGACCACTCTTCCGGAAGGCCGCAAAGCAAGGTCAAAATCCAATCCTCCTCCGTGACCGTTCCACCGAGGTCCATAAACGTTTCCCCGAGTTCTTCCAGATGAGTCGCATACTCGTGCATCGATTCGCCCTCGCGCCATTTCACCGTAAAGAACGCATTATGGACTAGGATCTTGCTGTGGAGAGTCTTGTTCACGTGCATCCTCTAGAGCCGCTTCTACGCTTCATGCGCCGATGCTTCGAGTATGATGCACATGCGCACCGAGCTCACGAGGTTGATGCTGATGCGCGAGATCAACGTAGCGAACACCTTTTTGTCCTTCTGTGTCGCGATGTTGTCCTTGTTCGTTGTCGGCTTTTTTCTCCGTTCCGTCAAAGAAACCCCAAAGTTCGCGCTCCATCATGAACACTTGGAACTTAAACTTCCACGCGGAGTAGTTTTGTCCCGTGAAAATCGGAACCACCGACGTGTCGAACACCGTTGCGGTAGTCCAGGGTTGTGACGACACCATCCAAGAAAGCGCGGGAGGCCTATCTTGAAGTCGGCATGCTTGTTTTTTGTCGCGCGCGTAATCTCCTCCGACCAGCTCTGGTACCACTTTTGAAGAGGACTCTTCTCTAGTTGGCAGAAACTACGAGTTGTACTAAACGATAGAGCACACTCTTGGCTTTCCAACGAGCTGTAGAACGCACGATTGGCCTAAGTAATAAGAGAGTTATATGTGTTTATATGCTTGCTTGTGCTCTTAGAACAAAGGATGGGAAGTCTTTGGATTTTTTTGTCGAATTGGACTATATTCAATAAACTGTTATTTTTGGTATAATACAAAAATACAAAGTGCACACATTTATAGCTACTCAATTTATTGAATCGCACAAGTAACATCGAGTTGCTACATGAAGTGGCGCGAATGTTCCGTGGGTAAGATTTCGATGTGGTGAAATTCGGCAACCGAATTTTACACATTCAAATGTTCCTTTAGTCTCAAATGTTCCAGGTGCTGCCATGCGGCACCGATCTGCAGGTCTTCCGAAGTCAACCTGCAACTTCACGAAACCTGCAGTGAAGTCAGCCGCAAGCAACACATTCGGTGGTTGGGGGCAAACCTTGCCTCACGCAACCTCCAACAGTGTCACAGGGGGCATGTCGGGAGGATGACCATTCGTTCCTGGCTTATCTTTTGGGGTCTCTGAAGGCGCTCATCGGGGTGGCCAACGGGCACAAGCCAATGTCATCCTGCTTCATGCGGCGTCTTCTATGGGGGGGGTGAACGTGGATTTGGTGGATAGGGACAGGGACGATGTTGAGTTGGAGGGTGGGGCCCTCTGGGTGGAGGCCCCTTTCATAGTGGATGCACGGATGTGAATAAGGAGGGGTGGAGTGGGGTGCGGGATGGCTGCAAGGTTTGGAATGTGATGGCACTTAGGCTTGGAATGTGATGGTGGCGAGGTTTGGAATGTGATGAGAACTAGGTTGGAATCATTTTCGATGGGTTCATTTCATTTATCAAGGCTATGTTCCCTGAAGCCTACATGGGGGTGCGTTCTATTATCAAATTTTAAGCAGAGAAACGGGACTAGGATTCCTGAATGGAAGACAATGGTGTCATCAATCCGTCAACTACAGCCTCGAAGAGATTCGGAGGCACATCCTCGTCATTTCTCGTCATCCTCGGCCCTGTTCGGGAGAACGTGAGAACGAGGGCTAAGGGCGTGTAAAATTGTAACGACCAAGCCAATTTTCCGCCCTTTTCAAGTTTTCGGCGACTTCGAGGAGGTGTAACGCGTTAGCAATCCTCGCGTCAAATGTCGCCAACACGTGATTTTTTTTTATTTCGTTTACTGCATTCGAGTAGGGTGTGGAATACAGGGGGATCGCAAGCCTAGACTAAGGTGTTTAACAAAGCAGAGAGTTTAGGCGAACACAAAGATTAATCCCTCGCTGAGGATACAAGTCTACGCAGGTCCCAAAATACAGTGCGTCCAATTTATGATCAGAAAATACCATTGCAATTCGGTCAAACTAGGGTGATTACTCTGTGGGCGTAACCCTAAATACCTCACAATCACGAGAACCGCCCGAATGATCGACCATTCCCTTTGGTCATTACAATTTTACTCGCCCTAAATGAGGATGAGGATGAATAATATAGTCTCGGAAGCCCAAAAATTGCGTGCGACCCCCGTAAGACCTCTATCGTGACCAAACCTCACGGTTTGGAAACATCAACCCCATCTTGACCTCACCTCGAGCCGCTGCCCCTACAGTCGTTGCTCACCTTATCCCGTGTCGAAAGGTCAGCACAATCGAAAAAACAATCATTCGCGAACGTTTTTGCTCATGAGTGACTGAATTGAGTATTGTGGTACAGTCACCAAGTTGCGGAAGAAAAACATCTACAGTTCATAAACAACAACGGATGCCCGTCATCAGAAATGTTTACTTGGTTACAAACTTAAAACCCCAAACTCGAGTCACATTCCAATTTCATATTACAGTCACATAAATTTCCCTGGCGACAATGGCGAATGTGGCGAAGTCCCTAAATCCCGTTTCACGCACATGCTGCCCGCCTACGTGGTGTTCTTGTATTTAGCACCGATTGTACCACCCATTGACTGCACAGTAATCACAGGCTGAAATTGCCTCACTTTCCCCTCGCCATGCTCTAGCGAGGGCAAAGTGAGTGACCTCCATCGTGAAATTTTGATTGGCATCCAGGTGGCTGATTTTACGATTACCCAGGGTGGATACATCTATCTTGTAGTCCTTGTCATTTGCTTTTGTGTTTTACTGAGGTCGTGTCCGTAGGGATGACATGTCAAGCATTTGAGTGTCAACTGGTGATTTTGACACTTGCAAACATTGTTGGCAGAGTGTCAACGACACCAAACTACCAGCCAGTAAAATCTGTCGGACTTCTAGCTCTATGAAAATATAAAGAACCATCCAGCCAACCACATTGAGGGCATAAAAAGTTCCGACGATCCAAACCTGCCTAATCAATAGATGTTTAACTTCGTGCGACGTGCCCAACCAATAAGGTTGCGTCGTAGGATTCCTTGTTGTGCTTCGATTTGACACTAACGCTACAGTGGTTGACACTCTAATTCCGCGCGCTTCGGGTTGACACTGCCAATGTTGACATGTCATCCCTACGGACACGAACTGATTCTGTTTCGTTTTGCAAGGGTAGCTACGTTCTGGATGGCTTCACATTTAGGGTTCGGGAATGTACTACAAAAGGTTCCGCAATAAGATCCCGCGCTAACAAGAGTCCATTTTCAATCAGAGGATGAACCAATCGCATTGCAGTGTCAGATTACAGGTGCGGCGTGTTCTATTAAATTTGTCGCGTAATCGTCGCCAATAACAGCCCGACGGTGCCGTATCATCCAAATTGCTTGACGACAACCTAAACCGCCCAATTGGGACTATATAATCTATTTTGATTGGGATTTTGACGTTTTGCCACATAGTCCTGCGCGGCTTGTGTTTCTCAGGCGGACTTTCTACAAGAAAAACTGTACAGATATTTTTGATTAAGATCCCGGAGCAAAACACGTGCTGCGCGGGCCTTTGTGGCCAAACTTACAAACCTTGGGAAAATGGGACCCTTTAGTCCCAAATTCAGGACAGTTGGATTCATATCATTAAGACCGCGCTTGCTGTCAAACTTATACACTATAGTCTGTGTAGGCTGTAGTGGGGTAGCTCATATGGGGTACAACATTCTAGGGTTTGGTACTTGTACTCCTCATGCTGCTCAATGCATTCATTCTCGTTCTAACCTTTCACATGGTATCAGAGCAGGTTCCCTCGTGGGAACTGTTCCTAGGGCCCACCAACCTTTTTTTTCCTGCCCGGAGCGCCCTCCGCCCCTGCCCGAGTCGCGCTCCCCTCTAGCTGCCCTTAGCGGCCCCGTCGCGCTGCCCTTACGGCAACGTCACGTCGCCCTAGCGGCCCCGGCGCCGCCTCCACTGGCCCCGTCGCCCTACCCTCGCGACCCCGCGGCCCCACCCTCGCGACCCCGGCGTCGCCCCTCGCGGCTTAGCCGCCCGCGACCCCACCGCCGCCCGTAGCGGCCCCGTCGCCCTTCGCGCCGCCCGCGACCTCGTCGCGGCAGCCGCCTGCGACCCCTTCGCCGCGGCCGCCCGCGACCCCGTCGCCGCAGCCGCCCGCGGCCCTGCTGTCGCAGCCGCCCGCGTCCCTGCCGCCGCGGCCGCCTGCGATCCCGTCGCCGCGGCCGCCCGCGACTCCGCCACAGCCGCCCGCGCCCCCGGTCGTCGCAGACGCCCGCGACCCCGTCGCCACACCCGTGCGACCCCACCGCCACCCTTCGCGGCCCCGTCGCCACACCCTCGCGGCCCCGCCGAGCAGCCGAGCCATCGCGACGCCGCACCGCCGAGCCGCTGCTGCCGCTGAGCTGCAGAAACCGCCGAGCCGCCGGTGTCGCCGAGCTGCCGAGCCGCCGAGCCGCCACTGCCGCCGTGCTGCCGAGCCGCCGAGACGCCGCTGCCGCCGAGCCGCCATTCCTGCCGTCGTGGCCCTGTTCCCGCCGGCGCGCCTCGGTCCTTCTCGCCTGCCCGGTAAGAGCAGCGCCTCCGCCACTGCTCTGCCCTTGCCTGCTGCTCTCACTGCTCGTCTACTGCTGTCATGGCTTCCCCCAGTGTCCTCACCTTTGACGCTGAGGGTCGGGCCATTGACTTTGACGTCTGGGTAGATGACCTGCAGCTTTTCCTACTGAGCGACAGAGCAGACGGTCTCTCCCTCTTTGACCTCACTTCTGGTGCCTCTCCTGCCCCTGCTGCTGATGCTGACCCCACTGTTCGCCTTGCTGTGCGCCGCCACTTGCCGACCGCTGAGCGTGCGCACTTTAGCCAGTACAAGAGTGCTAAGACCTTGTACGACGCTGTAGTTGCACGCTACTCTTCCCCTGCCACTGCTGCGCTTAGCCGCCTCATCCTACCGTACCTCTTCCCTGACCTCGCCGCTTTTCCCACTGTCGCTGACCTCATTACGCACCTTCGCACTAGTGACACTCGCTACCGCGCTGCGCTTCCTGCTGAGTTCTGCGCCAAGAACCCCCCCCCCATGTACATCACCCTCTACTACATAGTCACCCGGCTCCCTGACACCCTTCGCCCGGTTAGGGACCACTTCCTCTCTGTTTGCCCCACCACCCTCACCGTTGACCTCCTCGAGGAGCGCCTGCTCGCGGCAGAGAAGAGCATAGTCGCAGTAGGTGCCTCTCGTGGTGACCCTCGTACCCCTGTCTTTGAGGGGTGCTCCCCCTCTCCCCTCTTGCCCTCTGTTGCCTCTGCTGCTGCGGCCGACCTCGTTGGTCTTGAGTCGGTCGCTGCGGCGTCTGCCCCTAGCGGGAGACGCCGCCCTGGCAAGGGCAAGGGGGGCAAGGGTGCTGGAGGAGCTGGCGGGGGCGGTGGAGGCGGAGGTGGAGGTGGTGGAGGGGGTGGGGGTGGCGGTGGGGGTGGTGGCGGGGGTGGGGGCGTCGGTGGCGGGACTGGAGGTGGAGGTGGAGGCGGCGGTGGCGGTGGGAGCGGAGGTGGCGGAGGTGGCGGTAGTGGAGGAGGTAGCGGCGGAGGCGGCGGAGCTGGTCGGGGTGGCGCTGCGCAGAGGGGTGGCTCCGGTGGTGGTGCGCGCCAGCAGCAGCAGCAGCAGCGTACCCGTGAGACCCCTTCCCCCCAGCAGCTTCGTGAGTGGTACGCTACTCGTCAGCGGGGCGGGGGTGCTGGCCCCTGTACCTACGTTCTCCGTACCGGCGACCGGGCGGGTGAGCAGTGTGGGGGCGCGCACCCCACCCAGCGCTGCTTCGGTCGTCTGACAGACGCGTGGCGCCACCAGTTCCCCGACGCTACTGAGATCCCTCGCTGGGGCGAGCTGTCTAGGGCGGGTGTTGCAATCTATGATCTTGATTTTGATGCTATTCTTGCTGCCATGTATGCTGTGACTATTAGTGATGAGGGTGACTGTTACCGGTGTTTCCCGCCTGACCCAGGCATAGAGGCTGCTGCGCTAGGTACTTGTGAGGCTGCTGCTCTAGGTGCCAGTGCGTCTGCTGCCCCAGGTGCCGGTGAGTTTGCGCTCTCAGGTGCTGCGTCGTCCCCGGACACCCACACCTTCACCCTTGACTCGGGTGCTTCCCGCTCCTTCTTTCGAGACTGCACCACTCTCACACCGCTCAGTCGGCCTGTTGCGGTCTCCCTGGCGGACCCCTCTGGGGGTCCTGTCCTTGCTCACTACTCCACTGTCCTACCGTGTCCGGCGGTCCCGTCTGGCTCCCTGTCGGGTCTCTACCTCCCCTCGTTCTCTACGAACTTGGTGGCGGGTGCTGACCTCCAGGATGCAGGAGTTGACCAGTTCACCCCTGCGCGTCAGCGGGTGACCCACTGCACTTGTGCGGACACGGGCCGACACTTGGCCACGTTTGCTCGTCGGCCAGGGTCGAGCCTGTACACACTGACTACTGAGTCTCCTCCAGTCACTGAGTCTGCTCAGGTAGCAGCGTCGGGTCAGGTGTTTGCTGCGGCGTCCAGGTCTGGTCCTGAGTCTGCCCCCTGCTCGTGTCGTCTCCTGTCCCACCGGACTCTCCTCTGGCACCACCGTCTTGGTCACCCCTCCCTGCCTCGCCTTCGAGGCATGGCTTCCCGTCTTCTTGTTTCTGGCCTCCCCCGGTCCCTCCCTCCCCTTCCTCCGGGGCCTGCCCCCACCTGCGTTCCCTGCGTCGAGGGGCGGCAGCGCGCTGCTCCTCACTCCTCCGAGTTTCCTCCGACAGAGGCTCCGCTGCAGACGCTTCACATGGACGTGTGGGGCCCAGCCCGCGTCCGTGGGCAGGGTCAGGAGCGCTACTTCCTGCTGGTGGTTGACGACTACTCGCGTTACACCGCAGTCTTCCCCTTGCGCAGCAAGGGTGACGTCACTGAGGTGTTGATCGCCTGGATCCGCGCAGCTCGTCTCCAGCTCCAGGAGAGTTTCGGCTCCGACTTTCCTGTTCGGCGTCTGCACTCCGACCGAGGCGGAGAGTTCTCCTCTGACCTTCTGCGGGCCTTCTGTCGCGCACGAGGCATCCGCCAGACCTTCACGCTTCCGGACTCTCCGCAGCAGAATGGGATTGCTGAGCGCCGCATCGGCATGATCATGGACGTCGCTCGTACGTCCATGATCCATGTGGCTGCTCCCCATTTTCTGTGGCCGTTTGCGGTTCGGTACAAGGCGCATCAGCTCAACCTTCACCCCCGGGTCTCCATGCCGGAGACCTCCCCTGCTTTGCTGTGGACGGGGAAGGTTGGTGATGCGTCGCGTTTCCGGGTCTGGGGATCTAGGGCGTTTGTCCGCGACTTGTCTGCGGACAAGCTGTCCTCTCGTGCTGTTCCCTGCGTCTTCCTTGGCTTCCCCCCTGACGCGCCAGGCTGGCAGTTCTACCACCCCACCTCGCGCCGTGTCTTTGCGTCCCAGGACGTCACCTTTGACGAGTCGGTACCCTACTACCGTCTCTTCCCCTACCGCACTGCGTCCCTCCCTCCCCCGCCGCTCTTCCTTACGCCAGGTCCCCCCCCGGTAGACCCCCTCCCCCCTCAGGGTCCTGCTCCCTCAGGTGTGTCCCAGGTAGATGCAGTTGAGCCAGTCGAGGTAGCTGTTGACTCTGGTACTGCTGGTGGTGCTGAGCCTGGGGGTGCTGGGTCTGGGGGTGCTGCGACTGGGGGTGCTGAGCCTGGGGGTGCTGAGCCTAGGGGTGCTGAGCCTGAGGGTGCTGAGCCTGGGGGTGCTGCGCCTGGGGGTGCTGAGCCTGGGGGTGCTGAGCCTGGGGGTGCTGAGCCTGGGGGTGCTGCGCCTGGGGGTGCTGAGCCTGGGGGTGCTGTGTCTGGGGGTGCTGAGTCTCGGAGTGCGGAGCCTGAGGGTGCTGGACCTGCTCGTCTGGCGTCTGGTGGTGCTGAGCCTGGCAGTTCTTCGGGTGCTTCGTCCCGGCGGGAGCTGCTCTCTCCACAGGAGCTGCGTGAGTGGTTCGCCCGGCGCTGGCGGCGTGCTGCTGGAGCTGGTGGTGCTGCAGGCGCTGGAGGTTCTACTGCTGCTGAGAGTGCTGGTGCCGAGGGTCCCAGAGGTGCTCGTACCGAGTGTACTGGAGCTGCTGGGCCTACGGGTGCTCCTCCTGCTGGAGCTGGTGGTGCTACTGGTGCTACTGGCGTTGGTTCTGCTGGTGCTCCTGGAGTTGGAGCTGCTGAGTCTTCGGGTGGTCCGACTGGAGCTGGGGCTACTGGGGGTGTTGGCGCTGGAGGTGCTGCTGGCGCTGGTGCTGCTGCGGGTGCTGGAGTTGGCGCTGCTGGGGCTGGAGGTCCTCCTGGTGCTGGTGCTCCCGTTGGGGGTACTGGTGCTGTTCCTGCTGGCACTGGTGGCGCTGCGCGGCCGCGGCCGTACTTCGTTCCGCTCCTTGAGCAGGTTCTTGGTCTTCCGTCCTCTCTTGGTCCTGCTCCTCCCTTAGCGTGTCCGCCTCCTGTCCAGTCCGAGTCACAGTTACCGCCGGCCTCCCCGCTTCCTTCTCCCTCTCCCTACACTGGTCCTACTGGAGGTCTTGCTGAGCGTCGTGAGCCTGCGTCTCGCCCTGCGTCGCCTGTCCGTGCTGCTCGCGCTAGTGGTCGTGGTTCGCGTCAGCGTCCTCCTCCTGTCCCCGGCACGCACCGGATGTCTCTGCGTCCTTCCACTGCTCCCCTGCGTGCCCCTTTGCCTTCTCCTCCTGCGTCCTCTCTTCCTGACGTTCCGGACCCTGAGTCGGACTCCCTTCGTGCTGCGCGTCCTACTGTCACGCGTCTCCTTGCTACTGTCGTCACTGACCCTTCCTTTGAGTCTGCTGCTGCGTCTGCTCTGGTTGCTGAGCTTGTCGACTTCGCTGCTCGCTGTCGCCTAGACTACGCTACCAGTCTCGTCGCTGAGTCTGCGTCTGTCTGTCCTCCGTCCGTCGGGGGTGAGTGTGCTCTTGGCACGGACGTCCTTAAGGACAGGCAGGAGGAGTTCCAGTGCTTGGCTGCTGCTTCACCTCATCTCGTGTCCATGCTGCTTGCCCCTGAGGGAGACCCGGATGCACTTGACATCCCGACTCCGCGCTCTTACGCGGAGGCGATAGAGGGTCCCTACTCCTCTCAGTGGCAGGCAGCCATGGACGCAGAGATGGCTTCCTACGTTGACGAGGTTCCCCCGCCTGGGGCGAACATCGTCAGTGGCATGTGAATTTTCAGGGTGAAGCGGCCGCCGGGTTCTCCGCCTGTCTTCAAGGCGCGCTACGTGGCTCGTGGCTTCAGTCAGCGGCAGGGAGTTGACTACTTTCAGACCTTCTCTCCCACCCCGAAGATGACCACTCTTCGGGTACTACTGCACATAGCTGCTTACCGAGACTACGAGCTGCACTCTCTTGACTTCAGCACTGCTTTCTTGCAGGGCAGCCTGCACGAGGAGATCTGGCTGCGCCGCCCACCTGGCTTCACTGGGACTTTTCCTCCTGGCACCCAGTGGAGCCTCCGGCGGCCAGTCTACGGTCTCCGCCAGGCGCCTCGTGAGTGGCACGACACACTGAGGACTACACTTGCGGCTCTTGGGTTTGCTCCTTCTACTGCCGACCCGTCGCTGTTTCTGCGCACCGACACTTCTTTGCCGCCGTTCTACATCCTCGTGTACGTCGACGACTTGGTCTTTGCTACAGCTGACACTGCTGGACTTGCCTACGTGAAGTCCGAGCTGCAGAAGAGACACACGTGCACAGACCTGGGTGAACTGCGCAGCTACCTTGGCTTGCAGATCACCCGGGACAGAGCACAGCGCACCATTACCCTGACTCAGTCACACATGGTGCAGCAGGTCCTTCAGCGCTTCAGCTTCACGTACTCCTCGCCTCAGGCCACTCCTCTGCCTACGCGCCACTCGCTCTCAGCTCTGCCTTCGGATGAGTCCGTAGAGTCGAGTGGCCTGTACCCAGAGCTTGTCGGCTGCCTCATGTACCTGATGACCTGCACTCGACCTGACCTTGCATACCCTCTTAGCATTCTTGCACGCTATGTTGCTCCTGGGAGACACAGACCAGAGCACATGGCTGCAGCGAAGAGGGTGTTGCGCTACTTGTGCAGTACGTCGGGCATGGGGCTTGTGCTTGGAGGGCAGAGTCCAGTGGTCCTCACTGGTCACGCAGACGCTTCTTGGGCAGACGACCAGGCTACGCAGCGGTCGTCGCAGGGTTACACCTTCAGCCTTGGTTCCGGCTCTGTTTCGTGGCGGTCTACCCGCTCGTCTTCTGTTCTCGGCTCGAGCTGTGAGGCTGAGATCTACGCAGGGGCCATGGCTGCACAGGAGCTACGCTGGCTCACCTACCTGCTGACTGACCTGGGAGAGCCGCCTCGTTCTCCTCCAGTGCTGTACGTAGACAACAAGGCCATGCTGGCCTTGTGTTGGGAGCACAGACTGGAGCACAGAACGAAGCACATCGCTCTCCGCTACTTTCTTGCTCGTGAGCTGCAGCAGCGTGGTCAGCTGCGCCTTGCTTACGTGGCCTCTGAGGCCAACACTGCTGATATCTTCACCAAGGCACTCGCGCCTTGTGATCATCAGCGCTTCTGTACTCTGTTAGGTCTTGTGCCTACCTTGCCTCACTTGCTTACTTCTTGACCTTGCTTGTACTGTTACATATATATACCTGCCTGTTTAGCTTTATATATATGTGACCTTGCATGTGAACTGGCCTTGTGGCCTTGAACTTGTGCTCAGACTGTGTGGTGACGTTGTGATCCACCCTGAGCTTGCTTTGCCTTGCTTTGCTTGACTGGTCTTGTGACCCCTTGTTCTCCCCCACTTTGCCTATGGGGGTGTGTCAAACTTATACACTATAGTCTGTGTAGGCTGTAGTGGGGTAGCTCATATGGGGTACAACATTCTAGGGTTTGGTACTTGTACTCCTCATGCTGCTCAATGCATTCATTCTCGTTCTAACCTTTCACACTTGCTTCAACTTCTCGTCGCATGGTTCTCCGTGTTGATCAATGTCGCATGACTAGCGGGCTGAAAAATACAAACATCGATTATTTTTTTGAACTCTGTAAGCGATATTAATCGGATGTTATCTTCGAGCTAGCTCGAAACCGCGCGACAGGGTTTAGACGCAAGCGCGGTCAAGCAACATTTACAAAAATATTTGCATAAATAAATCTTAAATAAAACTTCCCTCTTGATCATTCTCTGTTAATGTTTGGCTGGTTCGATCTGATTGGCTGCGGAACTGATTCACGCAATAGTTCAGTCAAGATGCAAGATTTCCCGCCAAAAACGGGACTGTAGAGGAGGGGATACACCTAGGACTTATGCGAAAAAGCTACTCAAGGAGAATAGGGGCCTCTTTTAGGAGGGGCTTCTAAACGAGACAAACTGTACCAGAGGAGGTTGTGATGGGGCATCTTGATCCCTACAGCGAGGTTGGTTGTTTTTTATGCTCCACGTGGGGCGTTGACTATGCACACCACTGTCCGTATGTACAGCTGATGACGCGGTTTGTACAGCTGTAGTACTGTAGAACTTTGCAAGTGGTTTTTTGTTGTTATTTCTTTCAGGCTCGGTATTGTACTCATCCTCATGTTGTGGTGCTCCGGAACAGGGCTGTGGATTCAAGGGCATATGGCCTTAATGCCCTGAACATTAAGGTCTGACTTTGCCCCAAAGTCCAGATTCTCAGGGTTGATTTTTTGTACAGCCCGGAATGATAACGGGCGTGGGCTGGGCCTTCCCCTGATTCTTACAGGGGCCTCTTGGAGGGTTTCCCTGAATCCCCGCGGAAGTTTCCGGCCTTACCCGGAAACTTTCACAGCCCTTCCTCCCCCCCCCCCCCCACCCTCTCCCTTCCCGTTTTTCCCTGTCTGATCTTATGACCGTGAAAATGCTAGATTACGACGTGGACTGGGCAGGTGTGTACCAGATCTTCGACGGGGAGAAGCGCCGCAAGCCTGCCACTTAGTTATTAGTGTTGAGAAAGTAGATAGGAAGATAGCAGTTCTAAATTAATTCTGCCTTTATTAGTTTTCGTTATGTAGAGTTTGCCCTGCTTGTTGTAGTGTAGCCCTGAATTTAAGTTTTTGGTTGGGTGCTTTCCCGGACGCTTAAAGGCTCGGAAAAGGACACTTCCCGGAGATTTCAGGGCTGAAATACGGGCACCTCAGACTCTCAAGTGTTGGCCTGGAACCAATCGACAGCCCTGCTCCGGAACAAGGCCCTCCTCAGTTCCTTCGGTGATCGGATCGAAATAGTTCTGTCCAGACGCAGTTCTCGTACAGTAAACATTTTGTTTTAACTTTTCCGAAACTCAAATGCTGGTCAACTCTAGTTTGGCTTGCTTGACGAATGTACCAGTCGTGTTGTGCCAAATTTCCTTAGTGCTTCATTGACCTAGGCAAACGTCCTGTGCCTCTCAGTAACTTCGGCAAATTTCCAGTGTGTTTCAGTGTCTCGCTGAGTTCAGGACGCGTCAACTCCTGCTAAAAATGTCGATCGATCGTCCAATATCGATCGTCCACCCCACTGGAAACCCGCAATTGCATCCAAAATGTATTAGAGCCTCTTTTAACCCAGTCAAAAATTGACCCTGTGCAGGATCGATCGCCGAATTTTGCTGGAGTTGACGTGTCCTTAGAGCATTTTAGTGACTTAGCCAAATTTCTGGAAGTTTCAGTGTCCGTCTATTCGATAGACAAAAAGTCTCCCGCAAATTTCTACCCCAAGGTCACATCAGAGTTACCCCGATTAGTGATACCCCAATGTTACCCCCGATCAAAGTTCAGTTCGTTGTCACACTGAGGTGACACCAAGCGGTGACCCTGATGTTACCCCCCGAGAAGTTGGGGTCCAATCCTGTGCGTTCCCACTTCTCGTGAACCTAACTCGAACGCGAGCCGCATCTGCGCTGTAAAATTCATCGCTTTAAGCCAAAATGTTTCTACAGCGCATTGTCTAATTTAAAGGCTATATATTGGGCGTACAAAACACTCATCCGATATATCCACAATGATTAAAATTCACAAATCATTATCGTGAACCTTTGTTTCAAGACTTAGCTGTAAATTTCCAATCTATTATGTCTGCAAGTACATTATACCAGCATCACTAATCATGTTTCCAAAAGCAAATCACTAGAGAAGGAGACACAGAAAGTAGTATCGGTTAGCATGGAGCCGCCTGTACACCTGAAATGCGGGTGGCAGCCATGTGATCTCACCTAATGCACATAGCCGCCATTCAAAAAAAAAAAGAACAACAGATCTGGTGAGCCTGTGAAAGATAATCAAAATAGACCTTCAAGGGAAAGACAAGGCAAAAAGACAAACGGATGATGCATCTCGCAGGGTGTGTCATTTCGCCACAGCTGCTCCGCACGAGCCTGCCGAAGCTTATCTGCACGATTCCGCCGCAGCTGCTGAGCGCGATTCCGCCAAGCTGCTTAGCGCCAATCCGCCGCCGCTGGCTGGGCACCAAAGAAACACACATGGCGCGAGGAAACAATTAGCGACTGAAATAGATCCGTACAGAAACAATGAAATAAGGAGCGCCACCTGAGCTCAACGGCTGGCCACCGAATGTAACTGAAGCCTTGAAAGACAGTTGAATTACAGGAAACTTGCTTACCTCATAAGCACATTGTAGACCTCTAAACACGGGCGCCTGGAACGACGATGATCGATGCCTGCAAAGAAACACACATGGCTCGAGGAAACAATTAGGAACTGAAGGGAAAAAAAATTTAAAAAAAAAAAAAAAAAAAAGGTAGGGACATTCATGCCTCGAATCGCCAGGCTTATGACGCTGCTTTACAACGAAAAGAGTGACGAGAAACTAAGCTAGTTATTGGCTACCCATAGCCTCCAGCAATGTCTAAGAAATTGCAGTAGCGGGAAACGCGGACATGGCGGCGAGTTAGGAGACGTGTGAACTCGACAGGTTCACAAGACAATAATGAGAGAGATGGGCGAGAGATGTTGTGAAATACATCAAAGGGAGCGAATGTTTTGCTGAAGTGAGTTGGACAATTGTGATTGGTCTACAATATCCTGGCTGCCACCTAGCGAAACCCACCAATAGAAACTCAATATGGGGAGTCTCGATAGCCTTTCTAGTATTCGCAGAACATTGCTGCTGTTATGAATTCGTGTACAGTGCCTAGGGTCAGCTTTGGTTGCCTAAAGAGTGAGAACAAACCAATTGAA